CGAAGGACAGAGTCTTCATTAAATTCCCTTTCCTTCTTCCTCTGTATAGTTTGTTCCCTCGGGGACATAAATAGGTGTGGGAAAGATCCAATTATGTTCACCAAGAGGCAATTCCCTTTAACGTGATTGTATCTGAGAATCTGCACATCAGGGCCTGTCGCTCCCGTCAGCTCGCCAATTTATGATCATTCGAGAAATTGTTCCCTTTATTTCAAATGAGATTTGACCTTAAATTTGTCCTCACAGGATAGTATTCATTTCTGCTGTGAGATCATGTTATTATCTAAGTGTTGAGCAGGCAAGAACTTTTTTTGTTCGAGATTCTAATCAGGTTGGATTGAGTGTTTTTGTTTTTTTTTTTTTAATTTCGAATTCAGTCCTTGTCTTTTGACCTTTTGGTTTGAAATAAAATGCCACTTGTATTTTTGGAGTGCTGCAGTGCGAAGCAGTGTTGAAGCGTTGCTTTTTTCCTCCCTGTCACTGTGGCCCTTCAGCAAGCTGCAAACAACTCACTTTGATAGTTTCATAGTGTTTCTATGAGGACTGCCGGTATGTCGCTGTGCAGGAACATAAAGAGTCCCCAGTCTATATTCTTCTCCATGCACCATGAAATTGCCCTCAGTGCACTGATATTCCTCATCAGCCGTCTTGTTGTCTAGAAGTGCATTGAGTCACGTGGTAGACTTAAAAAGGTCACAAGCTTGAGGTATAGAAAACAATTTCTTTCAGCAGTTTAACAGTGTTCGTTTTCAACATAGATTTAATGGCATCAGCAGATCATAACGATGGATTGATCTCAGGGGTGTTACTTCATTAAACAGCAATTTAAATATGGAAAATGAACTGTTTTGATTATGTGTAGAAAAATAAAATCCTTATATTATCTATATAATTCACAGAAGAAAAATGCTGGCGACGCTGAAATTCTTAGAACTGTTTTCCTTCACTGAAGTGCGCAAATTGAAGTTGGTTATCTCTCCCTGTGGATGTCTTTCATGATACAATTACAATAAAGCAATTAAGTCCAGTGAATCATGAAATTGATTGTTTTGCCAAAATAGGAGTAGGAAATTGGGCCACAAATAGAATATCCTCAAAGGTCTGTATAAGAACGGACAGAATTCGACTGATCATAAAAGTTCTTTTATCCTATCGTCAGCACTTTGTGGTTTGCAAGCATATTAAGGGTACAGTAGATAGTCCCTGGTCATGCTGCTAATACAGTGGCTTAGATCTGGCTGTTGTAGGTTACCTGAAGGGAACAGTTTGACATTGCTCAGAGTTAAATGACAAGACATCAGCGCACTCTCATCTGTACAGTTAATATGAAGCTACAACCAGGAGAATTCTAGCTTAGCATAAACACTTTGAGCAGGGGGATCAGCTGACCTAAAACCTATACTAGCACCTGTAAAGCTCACTAATTAACACTTCATATTTCCTCTTTCCCTGGAGGGCTGGGAAAATATGCTTACCTCCCAATTCAATACTATCACGATACTTGGGTGCTTATTTTGAAATGTATTGCGATTCGGTAGAGCCATTTCAACACTAGACCATGGGAAACTGTTTAATCATACACTGTAAAAGACTGCACATCATGAGGCATAACAAAAACAATGTTCATCTCATGCTAGTCAGCCAAAATATCTACATTGACCAGCACTTATTGATATTCTATTTATCAGTATTGAAAATAGGCTAAATCTTATTCCATTGTAGAGCCCTCACCCACCCTCTCTTTCTCTCTATCATACCTCAAATGAGACAAATTAGCGACCTCATGCACCCCATGGTCTCTCTGCTTCACTCCCTGCAACTAAAACACTATTCGCCAGGAGGAGAGGCGCAGAAGCTCTTGAGACAGACTCAGTAGTGGCTGTAGCAACAAATTCAGCCAGTGCAAACCTCAGTGCCTGTTGTAGCATAGACAAAACTTAAAATAAGAGAGGCTCAGACCTAGACGTGCACATTTAAGGATCTTTTAATCTCAAGAGACAACCAAAGAATTGGTACATCTTGACAATTTTGTTGGTACTGTAGGTACTTCCCGTCACTTAGGCTGCTGTTTCTTGTTATGCAGATAATCAGTTCTGTGAACAATTGCCTCTCCTCACATAACCAAGTTTGATCAACGTCATGTCAGGTCATCTGACTGAAGTCATGTCAGTCATCTACAATACGCGCCGAGGTTCATCGCAGGCTGGGTCAAAAGACAATTTGTGGATCCGGTAGGGAGTTAACGCCGGGCTGGCAGAATTTGAGTTGATGAAGGTCCATGTCTTCGGATCGTCCCCCATTTCCTGCTTTCTAAATTTAGCTTTGTTTTTCTTGACAGATATGACATCATGTTACTCCTAGATCACCATGATAAAAGCAGCAACTTATTTCCACCAACGCATTTGAATTATACCGATTTTGGCACTGAAGAAAAATCCCAATATTTAAGTGAATCAACCTTTTCCCACTCCTATTTCCCCGGCAACCTTTAGGTGACAACAAGACTCCAGGAAGTGCATATTTGTTTTATTATGGGTTAAACAAATAAGATAACATCTTTATTCATGAGCTTTAGCTGTGCTGACACTGACAGGCAGATTTTGTTACCTTTGGACAGGCTGTTTTTCCGTTTCCAGTCTTTATGCTAAGCTAAGATAACCATCTCCTGACTGTATCTTCATTTCTATCATAGAGACATGATGCTGCATCTATCTTTTATTTAACTCTCGGCAAAAGATCAAATAAGCAAGCTATTCCTTCAACAATTGAGTGGGTTTTATTTTACAATGGATGATTGGACAGCCAGGATTGTCTAACTTGGTTCTCTCATAAGTAAATAATAATCAAACATGCTCTGAAATTAGTCTGTTGAGTATTGAATCTAATATCTTGTCATTAGAGGAAACAAGCAAGTCTTTATTTACCAAAGGTGATTTTGTTCTCCTGAAACTGGGAAATGTGTTGCTTTGATTAGATTCAAGCATTTGTCTAACACAACCATTAGTGTGGTGATGTTGTTCATTTGTCAACACCTGTCTGTTGTATTTGTCAATAAAACAATATGCTATGAAATATTAACAAATGGCTGATAAATTCATCTTTAGAGGTTAACACTCTAAACATCGCTGTGGACACATATTGGTAATAGAAGGTTTTAAAATAAGAGAAAAAAAATCAATCATATTTAAAAAATTGTGTGAAGTCAAAGCTCTTTTAACTCAGATTTGAACTTTGTGTTTTAGTTCAGAAAGTTGTTTTATGTAAAGCATGTTGATTCACAGCCAGTTTCCAAAGAGACTGTCATTAGAGCGGTATTATGGTTATGGCAATGAATTGATTCAATAACTGGTGTGCCGTAATGTGCAACGGATAGCTTTCAGTCATAATTCATTCGTCCTGCAGCTTTGTGGATCAACAATGCTTGGCTTCAGCCATATATCAGCTCATTTATGAGAGAGGGAGACAGTTATCAATATTCTTGTCTTGGCTCAAAAATGATTTTTGCTGTGATAAGGTTCTGTAGTGTGCAAATTGAAAGTTTCATTTTTCATGGTTTTATTCAAGAAATGCTAATCACACTAGCTTTTCATGGATTGTGATCTAATGTCATGGATTATCTTTTGAAGATGCACACACCAGTTCAACCCAGCCCAGTCGCCAAGAAAAAAAGTTGGTATTGTCTCTGCAAACCACAAATATGTAAAGCTGACTTTGTCATCAGGAGGTGGAGGCGATGGTGGATGGCGTGTCACCTAGGTGAGACACTTGTCAAGCTGCAGACCACTGTTGTGTAGTGTGATTTAGCGAGTCTTTTGAGGCACCAGATTCGGGTGTTTTGTAGCAACCTGTCACTGTTTTTCCAGCAGCTTTTAATGCACGAAACCAGTTGCTTTTCTTACCAAGGCATCACTGCTTTTCCTGCTGGGACTGTGGCCCGAAAAATGGTTGTTTTTTACTGAGACATTGCTGCTTTTCCTCAAGCAATAGTAGTTAGAAAAGTGGTTGATTCTAACTGAGATACCACTGCTCTTCCTGCCAGGATTGTCACCTGAAAACAATGTTGGATTATACCAAGACATTGCTGCTCTCCTCCTGAGATAGTTGTCCAAAAAGGAGTTGTTTATACTGAGATATCTCTCTTTTATGCCAAGATTGTTGCCTGAAAAAAAACATGTTTTCTATTAAGTCATCGTTGTTTTTCTTCCTGGGATAGTGGCTGGAAATGCGGTTGTTTCTTAGCAAAGCATCACTGCTTTTCCTGCCAGAATTATTGCCCAAAAAGTGGTTTTTACTGAGACATTGCTGCTCTTCCTCAAGGGATAGTGGTTCAAAAAATGGTTGTTTTTTACTGAGATATCACTGCTTTTCCTACCAGGATTGTTGCTCAAAAAAAGTTTGTTTTCTACCACAACATCTTTGCTTTCCCTCCTGGGATAGTGGCTAGAAATTGTTTTTTCCAGAGACATTGCTGCTATTCCTGCAAGGATTGTTGCATGAAAAAAATATTTGTTTTTTACTGAGACATTGCTGCTTTTCCTCATGGGATAGTGATTCGAAAAGTGGTTGCTTCTTATTTAGATATCACTGCTTCTCCTGCCAGGATCGTGCCCCCTACAATGGGTATTTTAAGCCAAAGCATGATCTTTTCCTAACCATAACCAAGTGGTGTTTGTGTCTAAACCTAACCACACATTAACCACAAAGTTGTTGAAATGTAAATTTTCAGAATCCCCAACAAAGTAATGTACAAATGAAATGTAGGATATCTATGGTTTGCAGAAATGCAGAAATGTTTAAAACCAACATTTTCTCTGGCAATTGGGTTGCTTAACCACCTTTAAATCAATCAACTGTATATTTATATAATCAGAGGGGATTGACCTTTAGCAGAATGTTGAAATCAGCTTTGCAAAATTTCTCCAAGAAATACAATACAGCTGTTTCTTTGAGTCAAAGAGCGAGCTGTGCCTCTCTGAGATTAAACTCTCTTTCTCTTCCAGGATTTCTGACTGACAGCACTCTCACTGTGATTTCCTCCGGTTGCTTTTCACGAAATCAGGATTTGGCTGTGAGTATCCCACCAGCAGAGATGTTACGTGTGGCACGAGTCGAGGCTCTGAGCCACTGCTGTGAACTTAAAGGTTGTGAGATGGATGAGAAAAGGAGGGAGGAGGAGACTCTCCACTCCATCAGATCAGTCCAGTGTCATTGCTGCGACCGTTCTCTTTTAGAGGAGACAGATCACTGCACATTGTTAGATGCCTCCATCCTCTGCAGCTCCCCTCTCAGAAATATCATCCATTCCTATGTCCTGTGAGAAATCCAGCTTGGCTCTGTCTCTTTACTGTCCACTGAAGACATGGCCCAGATGGTGGACTGTCTATGGTTGGATGCTCTCTCAAACTGTCCAGTAATATAACACTCTGATGAGCTGTGGTGTGGAGTTATTTATACTTCCTATCCAATTATTTCAGTAGAATATTTTGGGCTGAACATTGAATCCAGTAATGAAATCAGCACAGCGCTACGATATATGTAAATAGAGTTGCGTAATCACATGTTTTGGACTCCACTAAATGTCAGCATGAAACGCTGTGTGTTGGGTTTTCCCCACTCTTCCATCTGTTCTTGGAAAAGCTCTGTATGTGCCAGGGAGGAGGGAGCCCACTGCAGCGTGCAGTGAGCAGGGAAGGCGTAGTGAGGATGAAGGTGCAGCTCACTGTGAACAAGCATGATTTACTGTCGGATTGGTCGGGTCTCCAGCATACCCAGCACACTACAGCACTCAGCTGATTAATAAGAGTCATTTCCATGAGTGATGGAAGCTCCATTGCCTCAGAGGCTACAGAAAGCTAATAATCCCCAGTGGACAACAGCCACGCCTTGAAGGACGGTTACTGGCCACTGCTTTTTTACCGACTCTGTTACTATGGCCATCTGCCATTATTCAGCTCTCGCTGCCCTGTGTCAGCCTCGTTGTTATTAACATTGATCAGCTCAACATCAGCTGAATGAGAATTCATACCCCGGGGACTGCTGGTGCAGAATTAGTTGTTTGAATATGCAGCACCATTAGAGGTTGTAGCTTTTACTACACGCATAATGAAAAAAGCACATAAATTCATCCTTATCTTTTGTTTTGAATGAGGCGCCACAGCTGAATAAGAAAAACACAATCTGTCTGTCTTATCAGGATGAAACTTTACATAACACATAACAGAAAGATTTTAATATTATAACTTTTTAAACCTCATCAACTGATTGTTTGGCCCCTAGCAAGGCAGCTGAAACACAACAGCAGCAGCATTATTCATTTGCAGTCATGTTTCCAGCCACCAAATGAAACAGTCACCCTTATTTTAGCTCTGGTTTTGGTCTCCACCACCGCCTGAGGGAAATATGTGGCTCTTAAGCTGCTAAATGCTCCACTATGTTCACCAGCCAGTTTCTAACTGTGTCTGTCTGCTGTTTGGTGCTGAGCAGGTTGTGTACAGTGGGATTTTAATAAACAGCTGAAAACAGCTGCCTGCTGCGGACAAAACTGATGATATGAGCAGGAAGAGTGAACCAAAACTGTTAGTTTAAAGACGCTCTGCAGAGCTGAGTGGGACTGCAGAGTCAGTTATTAATTCCCTGAGGGGTTCTTCACCATGAGCAACCCTTTTCAGTTGGCCATTGTTAATGGGAATGGTTTATTGCCAAGAAGGTTTTCACATACAAGGAATTTGCTTCGGTGTATTGGTGCATAAAATGAACATTATAAGAGAAAATGAACTTAGAAATTAAAGCAAGAAATATAAATATATAATATTGTTATAATAGATAAATGATGAAAATATTATTAAATAATATCTATGTAGTGTATCAGAATTAAAGCAGAAGAGCAGTGCAGTTTTCAGATGTGTCCCAGGAATGTGCACATAAAAAGAATGTTTATTTATTAATATTTTATGGAATATTTAAAAGAAAATATTTAAAATAGCACCAAATCAGTTGATTAAATTTTAATTTCAGTTAAGTGAATAAATAATGATATTAAAAGGGATTTTTTTTAAATAAATCATTGACTCCACACTCTATATTTGATACTTGAACATTTTAATTTCTCTGGATTTGAGTATTAAAATATTCTAAAATAATATCACAGAAGATTTTAAATTAAAAAAATCTGAAAAATGTAAACTATCAGCTATTAAAAAATATGTGAAATGGCTTCATACACTAGTAGAGTAAAAAGAAAAATATTTGCTTACACTAGGGCCATTAATTACATGTTTAATCGGCTAAGTATTTACTGGATTCATTATTTGGTTCACGAACATTAGAAAATGGTGAAAAATCAGAATTTCTTGGTGCACAAGGCGACACCTTCCAACTGCTTTTCTTTGGCCTGACTAACAGTTTAAAACTCAAAGAAATTCAGTTCTCTGTAATGCATGTTGGAAATGCAAATTGTCACACATTTTAGAAGCTGAAACAAGCTAACGTTTGACATTTATGCTTGAAAAATGACAGAAATGAGTAATGGATTAACAGCTAATATTCTGTTGATTAAATAATTTATTCTTCCAGCTGTACACACCCATCTATCTTTTTATAATTAAAGTTTTTATTGGTTTGAAAGGCTCGGCACATGGCATACATATATCATTTTCAGGCATACAAGAATACAAAGCAGGTATTTTTTATGATATTGAGGTGGAATCCAGTAAATAAATAAATATAAACAAACAAGTCTAAAAGGAAAGAGAAGATTTATCATTTAAAAAAATGTTGCTAAAATAAACTATTCCATGCACACACCTGGTGATATATTGTAGAGTATGAGAGGTTGTGAGTATTGATTTGGTGCTAAATTTAGTCCCTGAAATAGCACTTTCACCTGCACTATCCTCCTCAATTTTCGGTTGCAATAACACACATTGTAGCAGCCGTTTCTGAACAGCAGTGTGGAAACACATAATGGAAACATGGCTCCAGCAGAGGGGTTTCCCTCTCACTCTGCCAGATCTAAAATGGGCCAACACAATGAAACACACAGTACTGTATTGTTGCACCTCCTCACATCTGCAGCACCACATCGCAGCACAGACACAGAACCAGATCTAATCCCTGACTGCCAGCCAGAGCATGTTACATTTACCACACATACATGATGGCAGCATTCGCTAAAGAGATCTGAAGATCGGGTGGAGCGGCAGCATTGCTTCACTGCTTCATGTTTAGAGCAACTGCAGACATAAATCATAACACTTCACATGATAAAAAGAATCCCAAGATGCGATCGTGTGTGTGCATGTGAGCTGTATATGCAGTATCGGGACACATCTTTTTGCTTTCTCTGTTTTTGTATCACCTGTGTAAAAAAAGAAACATAAGTCTTTTCTCTTCATCATCCTTTCTACATTTCTATTTTTGTCTTTCCCCATCGAGTTTTGTTGGATATCTCCACTGTCACCTTGTTAAAGCACAGCCATGTGCCTTTACTCATTGCTTGGAGAACACATGGCATTACATGTGATTTTGTAGAAAAGACTGGGTAGGGCGATGCATCTTAATGGCTTCCCATAGTCATTGACTGAACGGCTTTAATACATGGCTGCAAGCTCCATGCCGTTAGTTTCCACAACACGCACGCCTTATTAAATATGTATTGTAAGTTGCGCTGAATCTCTCTGGAGACTTGGCCTGTTTAGTTCAAAGTAAGGTCTGATGGAGTTTTTTTCTCTTACTCAATGAAATTACTAGATTATTAGGGTATTTTGGTGTCTAGTGTAGCAGCAGCAGCAGCATCAGCAGTCAGCAGTATAAAACCATGATGAGAGCATTTGTATTTGTCGTCTGTCACTACACATCACCACGCTTCTGTGTTTCATGTCTCATGGGGCAGGTGCCAGTGTTGCTCACCATGGGTTTACCCAGCATGCTATGAATCTTGGGTGGATCAATATCCTGTTCCCACTCAGACACTGAATCAGACCTGCCTGGGTTTCAGGGCACTGGGCTGTAAGATATCTCTCACAGTGCACAAAGGAATACAGGCTTGACTAGCTCTCATAGATCCAATAGCGAGGCTTAAATGTCATAGCACATTGATGATAAGGAGGGAATACAAACTATTGGGCTTTATTTAGTGCAAGTCGCATTGTGAAGGCTGCCATTTTACTTCCACCTTTCACGAAACAATATGGAGGTGGAGAGATGCAGGAGGAGCTGAGGCAGCCACACTTCAGTTTTGGTTGTACTCTGTGATTGTAAAGGTGATATTTCTTCTTAAAAAGACTAAAACCAACAATGACTAGATCCTTCTAACGAGTATTGTCTGTGTAACCAGCCTGATTTAGCTCATTCCTCTTTGCTGTAGAGCTCCCTTTTTGGCCAAAAACAATTTAAAACACAACAATGAGTGACACAGTTGCACCAGGTGATATGGTCCTTCATTATAAATGAACATGGGCACTGTTATTTTGAGTCAGTCCTACATACACCATCCTTCCTGGTGCAGGTGAATACATACTGCATCCAGATGTGTATCAATCCACAGCTGAAATTAGTCCCCAATAAATGCACTATTTACTCCAGTTTGAGTAGCGTTTACCAAAAACTACAAAGCCCAGCTTTTTTTAGAAATGATTGAACGTTTTTAAAACTGAAAGTAAATATTTATGACCATTTTTTCAGGGTATAGTGTGCAGTGTGATGATTACTGTTTGTCAGAGGGGACAGAGGTGGGACCATGTCACTGTTTTGCAAGTCACAAGTAGGTATCAAGTCTTTGCACTCAATTCCCAATTCAAGTCCCACATCAAAATAGGCAAAACTCAAGTTAAGTCCCAAGTCCTAAATGTTATGTTTTGAGTCCTAAAGAAGTCATAATGCACTCTTCACCAAATGTAAGGCCATTTTAACAAATTAATTATATGTTAAATTTCCCAAATTAATGAATGCTTTTTAAATACTGTGTGTATTTGTTAAAACAAGTTTGTTAGAACAAGTGCAGCTGAACTTAATCATAACAACAGGAATGCTGACATTGCACTCTTAGAGCATACAGCACTGTTAACTAGT